GTCCATTTCAGAGACAATGCTTGGAGGCAGTGACAGTCAGTGCTGCCAGCAAAAAACCCCCATTCCTGGAGTAAGCTGGTGCTGCAGATAACATCCAGCCAGTTGAGGGCTGGAACAGGACAGTACCACACCAGCCATGAAGCTCTACCTGCAGCCAACCTGGCTTATTGCAGAAATGAGATTGTCTCATCATGCACACCAAGGCACCTTGAAATTAGGTCTTGGCCCCTGTGTAATGGGGAAGCTTTAGCCAGCCAGGCCTAGTGGGGACCTGTATCCCAAGGAAAGGGCTGTCTTATCCCACCATGTCCGCTAGTTGGGATTTCAGCAGCTGCAGAGAAACCCCCAGTGGTTCTGCACCTCCCATGGGACCAGAGACCAGCCGGAGGGACATCATCCTCTCAACCCTGTGATGAGATCCCTGACATTACTGAAGACAGATGAGAAGCTGCCCAAGATCTCACCAGCAGAAAAAAGCTCCAGCGGAGGCACTGCAGGGACCAGAAGTTCTGGACAAGCCCTTTGCTTATGGGACACCACCAGCTGCAGCCCTGGGAGTCAGTAGCCCAGGGCTCAGTGCCTGTCTCCATGAGGAGGCTTTAATCTCCAGATGGTGTCTGAGCAACCCAAATGCACTGGGGCTGGAAAGTTGCCACGGTCGTGGCTATTTTGCACCATTTTTCATGAACAGATTTTGCCTTCAGGCTGCTGCTTTTGAAGCCCCAGTGCTGGAGCCTCCCTGTGAGACCTGCAGCATCGGGGCACCATATCTGGGACCCGGGATGTCCTGGGAGCCCTGAGACTGCCACCACAGAGTCACCATTGTTTGCATGGACAGCTCTTCCTGCCTCAGGAGGTGCCCTCCAGCCTTTCTCTGTCTTTTTTTTGGTGTAAGTTCATTTTTGTTGTTTTTCTCGCTCTTCTGAAGCAAATGGGGCTTTGGGCTGGCCAGACAAGTTGCCTCATGTATATAGAAACAAAAAGGAGCTTGCAGGAAACAAAACAGAGAAATGGAAGGCAGGTGGAAATTTTCCTCTGTTTCTAGGAGTGGCAAGA